CACACACACTGTGGGAAGAACACACAAACAACACACACAACACACACACACACTGTTGGAAAAACACAAACACACACAGTTTTTTCCCACTGTGTGTGTTTTCCCACCTTCCTGGGGCCGGACTTGTCGGTACCCCCTGGATATGTGCAGTTTACATGCGATTCTGCCCCCTCGTCCATACCAGAACTCGCACCCCCGATTCTCCAAAAAGCACAATGCGGGCAAACTTGTTTATCACAACTCATAAATTGTGCAACCTCCTTTGCAACAAATGGGACGAAGTGCGCACGCGCACGTCGTCGCGCACGCATGCCGAAACCCTTCAAACATCGAAGGTTGCGTGGGGATTTCAAAACCCAGTGTCACGGAAACAGATAACACAACACATGGTGTCGCAGCTAGCATTTTCAAAACAAATCTGCGCCCGTGCTCCTGCGAATTCTTACGAACTCCGCAGGTTTTTGAACATCCTCATGACATTTCACGCAGAGGGCCTCTCGCGCGCGCATGTCGAGATCGTTCGAACGCCCCTGCGCGCGCAGTCGCGAGAATCCCTTGCAACAACTTGGACGAAGCGTACACGCGCGCGTCGTCGCGCGCGCATGCCGACATCATCGACAAAAAACGCTAGGTTCCGCAAGGTTTTCAAAAACTAGTGTTCCAGATACATATAGGAAACACCTGGTTTCGCAGCACATGTTTCAAACAAACCAGCGCTCGCGCTCTTGCGACTTCTTAAGAAAACCTATGTTGATACAAGAACAGATTCACAACGTGCTTCGAAAAGAGGCCTTTCGCGCGCGCATGTCGAGATCGTTCGGGAGCCCGTGCGCGCGTGCAGTCGCAGTAATCCTAAGCAAAAAACGAGACGAAGTGCACGCGCGCGCGTCGTCTCGCGCGCATGCCGATTATTCTAAAGCAACACACCTGATGTCCGCAGGGAGTTCAAAAACGAGTGTCCCGAACACGTATCAAGACACATGCTTTCCCAACAAGGGTTTTCAAAACAAATGCGCCCGCGCTTCCTGGCGAATTCTTAAGAAAGCCGTCGTTTTGTTTTTGTGTTCAACATGTGCATCACATTCCGCCAAGCGGGCCTCTCGCGCCGCATGCCGAACTCATTCGAACACCCTTGCGCGCGTGCTGGGGGGGCGCGATCCGTGTCAAATGATGACACGCGGGCCACTCGCGCGCGTCGGCCGCGCGCTCATGCCGAACTCCTTCACAAACCTTCATCGCCGACGCGAGGACATCGTCATCATTATCGGCGGGCGTGGTCAACATCGGCCCGTCATTGGCCTTGGGCCTTGCCGCCGCCATCGCCACCATCATCGCCATCATTGCTATTCTCACAATCGTGCCAACCGTTGCAAGTCACCGACTCGCACTGACGTGCCCGCTTGGAAGTGCCCAGCGGTCAGCGCCACCGCGACCGCGCCGGCCGCGCCAAGCTAGACGGCCGCTGCGCGCGAGCATGCGCGGGCTAGCTCGGCCGCAGAGATTCACCAGCCAACGCAAAGCAGTCATCGCAACCGCCGCCGCATGGGTTTAGCAAACCGAAGTACGGGTGGGTGGGCGGCATCGTTGCAAGTGCATGAACTTCGCCAGCCCGTTTGTACAAATCAATTGCAAGTCGTAGTTTGCACTGCGTGCAAATTGCACGACGCCGTTGCGCCGCATAGATTGCACCACTTGGATTGCGCCACGAATCTTGCATATCACGGAATGCGCCGCGTAGGTTGCAGCACATGGATTGCATTGCGCAGTGTATATGTATGTGTGTATGTATGTATGCATGCATGTATGTATGTATGTATGTGTGTGTATGTGTGTATGTATGTATGTATGTATGTATGTATGTATGTATGTGTGTATGTATGTACGTACGTATGTATGTATGCATGTATGTATGTATGTATGTATGCATATATGACCCCGAAGAGCGCAAAACATGTATTGCGCCGCCAATATTGCACCATATAGTTTGCACCACACGGAGCGCACCACATGCTAGTATATTGCACCACGTCGCTTCCACCACTAAGCTTACGCAGCCTGTGTTGGGCCGCCACCTGGATTCCGCAACGCATACTTCACCATCGAGGGCGCATAATATGGATTGCACCAAACATATTGCAGTACACGGGTTGCACATCATCAGTATGTACACAGCCATGGTTTAACTATGTGTATATATGTATACATATATATATATATATATATAAATGTGTTCTCGGTCGGCATGCTTTCATATTGGAAAGTTGCGGCGCGGTAGGTATACTTTTTGGGTTCGTGCTCTTGCGCGCCATGCACTTGTCTAACACGCTTGCCATTCGATCGCATATGGCTCACGTGTGGACATATCAAAACACGCTACGTGTCAAACATCCCATGAGATCTTGGGCATGGGTCGCCGAGTTGTTGTGTGTTCACAATCCTACACTGTGTCCGCTGGTCTTGTGGTTTTGGCTTTGGGGATTGCGGGGGCCGCGCGTGTTGCGCAGGTGCGTGCGCGTACGCCAAAGGGGTCGCGGAGGACCCCCCAGCCCGAAAGCGCTGCAAGATGCTCCGAAGACACGAGGGGCCCAACATAGCCGTGGGCCCCATGATGCCCCAAAAGGGTCCTGAGACACCTCGTCGGCAGCAGTGGCACAACTAATTGCGAGCGGCACGAGCTGCAGCAAGTAGATTCACGGTGGCTCTGGTTCGCTTGCGATGGCCCTAGGATGGGATCGTGCAAGCGACACCTGGAATTCTCCTGGAGAGAGCTTCTCGCCAGTTGGGCCAGCGAGTTCCGAATTGCCTGCTACGCTTGCAGCATGTGCTGCGTCGCGCCTGAATCGCGGCCCTCTCGCGATCGGAGTTTGCAGGCTTTGCTCGCGGAGGCAGCCGAGGGAACTGTTCGAAGTTCGTGGGAAGTCAGGTCGGTATCTTCTGGGCCCTTCTGCCCCTGACAATCCATGTTGTGGCCTGGGACGTCGCCGAAGGCAACCGGACTGGCGCCACCACTAAACATTTAAACAGTTTTTGTCCCAACCATCTTGTGGTGTTGGGTCCTCGTTTTGAACAGACAGCGCCCGCGTCCATCCTTCCTCCCGCTGCCCCCCCTCCCTCTCCCCATCATCAGCATCACCGTCGCCATCATCATCGTCATCACCATCATCACCATCATCATCAGTTCGGCACACCCCTCACACGGTTCGTGGCCCCATAGGGAGCTCCACCGAAGGCCCCAATGGCTGCGTCCTCATGCGCCACCGCCACCCAATTCGACACACCCTTCACACGGTTCGTGGCCCCATAGGGAGCACCACTGAACGCCCCAGTGGTTGCGTCCTCATGCGCCACCGCCACCCATTAAGGGACACCTCTCACACGGTTCGTGGCCCCATAGGGAGCTCCACCGACAGCTCCAGTGGCAGAGTCCGCATGCTTCACCGCCACCCAGGGCAGCGTTTCGTGGCCCCATATGAAGCTCCACCGAAGGCTCCAGTGGCACGGCCCGCATGCGTCACCACCACCCAGGACAGCGTTTCGTGGCCCCACAGGGAGCACCACCTATGGTTCCAGTGGCAGGGTCCGCATGCGTCACTGCCACTCAGGACAGCGCTTCGTGGCCTCATAGGGAGCTCCACCGAAGGTTCCAGTGGCGCAGGCCGCATGCGTCACCGCCACCCAGGACAGCGCTTCGTGGCCCCATAGGGAGCTCAATTGGAGGCTCCAGCGGCAGGGTCCGCATGCGTCACCGCCACACAGGACAGCGTTTCGTCGCCCCATAGGGAGCTCCACGGAAGGCTCTAGTGGCCAGGGCCGCATGCGTCACCACCACCCAGGATAGCGTTTTGTGGCCCCGTAGGGAGCACCACCGATGGCTCCAGTGGCAGGGTCCGCATGCGTCGACGCAACCCGGGACAGCGTTTCGTGGCCCCATAGGGAGCTTCACCGAAGGCTCCAGTGGCAGGGTCCGCACGCGTCACCGCCACCCAGGACAGCGCTCCGTGGCCTTATAGGGAGCTCCACCGAAGGCTCCAGTGGCAGGGTCCGCATGCGTCACCGCCACCCAGGACAGCCCTTCGTGGCCCCATAGGGAGCTCCACGGAAGGCTCCAGTGGCAGGGTCCGCATGCGTCGACGCAACCCAGGACAGCGTTTCGTGGCCCCATAGGGAGCTCCACCGAAGGCTCCAGTGGCACAGGCCGCATGCGTCAACGCCACCCAGGACAGCGCTTCGTGGCCCCATAGGGAGCTCCACCGAAGGTTCCAGTGGCACGGCCGCATGCGTCAGCGCCGCGCCACCCAGGAGAGCGCTTCGTGCCCTCATAGGGAGCTCCACCGAAACTGGTCCCCACAATGCGGTACTCGCAACTGCATATGGTTGGGTCCTTCGTCAGGCTAACTGTAGGTCCAGGCCTGTTGGCGGACCCGCCCTGACTGCTAGCCGTTTTGGTTGCCGTCTGAAAGGGGACTACAACACAGTAGGCACTTGCTGCCTCGGTCGATGTGTCACGTTGGCATGCCATCCCGGGACTACAATCAATACCTGCGGTAAGGGCGCACAATTTATCAAGATCTCCCTTGCAATTTCACCCTCCCCCCTCTCTGGCCCATCCTCACCCGTAGGTCCCAGAGCCGTTGGCATGATGCTGGTGCACTTGTTCTCGCGTGGGCGGCCCACGGCCCATTGGCCTCTCTACTCGGGCATGCGTTCTTCTTGTTACCAACTGCAAGCGATCCGGTTGTAAATGATCGCCAGCTTGCTGGCGCCGGCCCGAGCGGAAAGGGTTGGAGGTTGATAGACCTCCTACCCTGACGCGTCGATCAGCGAATTGGCCGTTTTCGGTTCGCGAGAGGGCGTCGCGGCCGTCATGTTTGCGGGTCCAGGTCCGTCGGTTTCGGTCCCAGGCTGTTTTTATTTTTATTTGTTTTTTTAAAGGGAGGGTTACTATAAAGGGAGGTTTGTCCGCCGCGGATTGCTGGCGCCAGCCCGAGCGGCAAGGGGAGGCGCCCGAGCGAAAGTGACGCTAAACCTGGACCACACCGTGGCCGACGTGTGGCGCGCGGTGGCGCCAGCTGCTCGCGCGCGCGCGCTGCGGCACGCGCGCGCCCGTCGTCGAGCCCTCGCGCGGGCCGCTGCGCGGTCGCTGCCCGGGGCGTGGGGTGCCCGGTCGCCCTCGCGGGGGCTCCCGAGAGCGCCCCCCTCCCTCCCCATCGGGGCTGAACCCAAACGGTGTTTTTCGTCTTCGTTTTGTTGTCGTTTTCCCTCGTGTTGTTTTCGTTTTCCCTCTTTGTGCTTTTCGTTTTGTTTTCGTTTTCCCTCGTGTTGTCTTCAATCCGCCTTTGACGCAAAACGACATCGAAACGAGAACGGCCCACGAAATCGCCACAACACCGTTTAGGTCCATCCTTGCTCCCCCCCGTCGTTTTCGGAGTCACGTGCGCGCCGTGGGCTTAGCCTTACGGTCTGCTCAGCAGTGGTCCCCCTAGCCTTCAGAGCACCATTCGATATAGCTCCCGCGACGCGCGCGCGCAGCAGACAGCACCACAAGGCGAGCCAGCATGTATTGTACAGGGGAAGGGGCCAGTAAGTTCTGCAGATTGGTGGGTGAGGGTGGGCCAGCGACTTCGACTGGATTGGACCAGACCCAGAACAACGGCAATTGTGTCGAAGGGTTAGGTTTGTCGCTCTGGCATTTGAAAGCGAGGAGAGATCTAGCTGCAGGCTGGCCAGATACACGCACACGATGTTTAATTGCAGGCGGAGATACGAGAACTGACAATTCAGGCACACCTATACATACGTCAAACGCATGGGACCCAGAGGCGTGGTGGAAGGCATGATTGTAAGTGGGATTCGGTAGCAGCGCTGGGCAGCTCCGAGTGCACTGCCGCAGTAAGACCACGTGACACCTCGGGTAAGCAGGTTGCTCCCAGCTCGTAGCAGAAGTAGCCAGACATTGTTCACACTTGTGGGCGATGGAACAGAGATTGAATAGGAACCTTTTCAGTCTCTCTTGATCTTGCCTTGCCTGGCGAAAGGAGACCATGTCATTCCGGAGTGGTGTTCGTCATATGTGGCGCGAAGGAACCGAGATGAGGGTAGTAATAGCACACCTAGCGCCACAAGAGTCCATATTGATTCAATTCATCAGTGCGGAGGGCGATTCCAACGTATATTTGTTTGTTCCAAGCAGGTGGCGGATTTGATGGGCCATGCGGCGTTCAGGGCAGCCTCCAACCACGCCTTGTCGGTAGGGTGGGAATGAAGCGCCGAGCAGAGTGCGTGGAATCTGAATGCATGGAGGCCGCATACTTCAAGTTGTTTGTATATGCCATGTTGCGTCGGTGTGTTCGCCACACTCTTTGGGGACTTGCGTGTGCGGGTGTGTCCGCGCGGATATTGATTGTAGATTGCGCACTCATGTGTCCGTACCCTTGTGCGTAGACGTTGACAAGCCCACATACGTCGGGCGGCCTTCGGGGACGCGGCCGAGGGGTACTTGAGATCCCCTAAGAATTCTCAGGAACCCTTGGAGGCAGAGGAGAAGGATAGGGGGAGTTGGAGGAACCCTTGGGGTACTTCAGATCCCCTAAGAATTCTCAGGGGTCCTTGGGGGAAGAGGAGAATAGGGATAGGGGGAGTTGGAGGAGCCCTTGGACGGCGGGTCGAGGGAGGAGGAGCAGGAGGCGTCTTCATGGTAATGTCCAGGGTAAGCCTTAACGAGCTTGGCGGGCATGGTCACCGATGAGCAGGCAGCACGGGCGAGGGAGGAGGGAGAAGCAGGGAGCGGGAGGGGGGGGCGAGGAATGGGGGAGGGAGAGGTCGTGGGAGGAAGGGCGGGAGGAGCAGGACGATGCTTGAGGGGCACGGGGGGCGAAGAGGGTCATGATGACAAGGACGGCGATGGAGAAGCGCAGGAGGACCAGAACAGACCCATGGTATTTCTGGATTGTTCCTAGATCCCAATCTGCTTCAGGCGCCTTCCTGCTTCAAGAGTCGATATGCTTTTGCTGTGTTCTGTCACTCTGTGGGAGGGCCTGAGCCCAATCTGCTTTACCCGCCATCCTACTCCTTCCTCACGGGAGGAAGAATTACACGGACCCGATTTGTGGCGTTTGCTATACGGCCCTGGGCGTTTACTGAACAGCCCTGCTCTGTCCGATTCATTCTTTGGGTGCGTGTACTAAGCGGCCTCGCTTGTCGGGGTGGTTATCATGGGTGTGGATGTTGTGCCCTCTACTGCCTACTTCGTCCGACCGACGTGTACGTCGCAGGCCCCTCGTCGGAAGTCCTCACCATCTTTCCACCATATGGCGGGCACCGCCACCTTGGAAGGCGAGCGCCCCAGAGGGCACATGCCATTCCAGCGAGGGATATTTCTGTGTTCAGCAGGATCTGCCTTTTGTCCGCCCAGGCGTAAGAAGTGGACACTTATATGATCAGACCCGTCGCTCGTTTTATGCTGTTCCAATCTGCTTTAGCCTTGATCACCCCAAAAAGTTTTTCGAGCACCAAAAGAGTACCGAAGCTCTAGGGTTTTCACGTGTCGGGCCCCGAGAGACACTCGTCCGACACTCTTTCGACACTCTTTCCACACTTTTCCGGGTGCTCGAAATTATTTCTGGGATTTGGTCTTTCAGTACGATGGGAGCAACATAACGCTCGTTTAAAGTATGTGTTTTTGGATGCACAAGTCCCAATCTGCTTCAGACGCCTTTCTACGTCAAGAGTCGAGCGGTTTTCCCTGCTTGAGGGCGTGCTCAGCGCACGCCCCATGAGAAAATTGGCCTCCCGCTATCCGTTTGCTAGCAGAAGAATGTTCAGCGCATGGTCCCAGGAAAGCGTTAACCTCAAGCGACAACACGTAGTTGAGTGTTGGCCGCAGTGGTCTTCCGTCCGCGTAGTCGTTGTGGTGGTCCGGACGTCGGATCATACAGGCCGAGGTAGTCTCAATCGGGAGCTCTAGCTTGAACAGATGCCGCGTTCCATCCATGTAGCTGTTCGTTTGGGATGAACGTACTCGGCGCTAAGGCGAGAGCCATATGTTGATAATCGTTTGCTTTCACCCACGCAACCCATCGACGCTTTTAGGGCCGTCTGCGAGAGCCACATTTTGAAAACCAATCGCCTTCCGGCTTGCAGCGGCTGGAAGCTCTGAAGACGACTGTGCGCTGCGTTAGCCCGAGAGCAACATGTTAAAACGGCCCGTCCTCAATTTTTGCAGGTCACATTCTGCAAACCTATTCTGCAAGCTGTCAGCATACAGTGTGAGGAGGTGGGGGAGCAGTAGCAGACAAGGGAGGGGGTTGCGGGGGGCGGGGGTAAGGGTTGACTGCGTATCTATGTGATGATCTGATTGGCTTTGCCTTCCTCCTTTCTATCTTGACACAGTTCGTTTTGTGTTGTTCCTTCTGGCCTTGCTTTCTCTCTATATCTCTCTCTCTCTTTCTCTTTCGCTCTCTCTCTCTCTCTCTGTTTTTCTGTCTCTCCTTGTCTGCCGCGTGCTCGTGCAAGTCAAGACCATGCAGAGCAGTGCAACGCAACACCAAGCAAAGAAAAGACAAAGCAACGCAACACCATGCAGAGCAGTGCAACGCAACGTAAAGCAACGCAACGCAATGTAAGCGCGGAAACGAAGCCAACCCTGCTGCAGGAGCTTGATTTGGAAGGAGGTCAGAGCCACATCAGGAGCATGCTTTGGAAGGGCTGAGAGCGGGAAAATGGAGCCAACGCTGCAGCGGGAGCGCCACTCTGAACGGATTGAACAAGCTCGGGCGGGAAACAACACCTATGAGTTATCAGTTTGGCGGCACCCTGTCTCTAGAAATACAATTCGCGGAAGAGGCCAGGACAGTTCACCGCCGTCCTCGTGGACGAGAGCAGGGTAGAATTCGTACTGCGAAGAGTATGGGCGCGCTCGCCGAGACGAGAGAGCCATCCGGAGAGGCCAGAGGGATGGTCCGAGAGGAGAAGCACGTAGGCAACACCAAGAGTCTTAAGTCGGGCCTGTCCCTCTACAGGGGGAATATTCAAAAATCAGCTTTTGATTACTCCCCATATCCTAAGATGGGGTTCTTGTTATTACTTGGACGCCTCCTACTCCTCCTTCCTCCTCCTCTTTTCTCCTCCCCTCCTGTCGGACATACTCAGACTTGCTCATACACAGACTTACTCATACTCAGACTTACTCATACTCAGACCTACTCATACTCAGACTTACTCACACTCAGACATACTCATATACAGACTTACTCATACACAGACTTACTCATACACAGTATTAGTCATACCCAGACGTACACATACACAGACTTACTCATACACAGACTTACTCATACTCAGCACCCCTAAGGGGAGCCGCCAGGGGTGGTTGCACGGGCTCGTTCGCGGCCATTTTGTGGGGATGTCTCAGGCGGTTTGCCTGTTTCTGTGCCCAACATCCTTCGCTTTCGGAGCAGATTTGGAGGATGTCTCGAGCGAGGCGCTCATTTCAGCACCCCTAAGGGGAGCCGCCAGGGGTGGTTGCACGGGCTCGTTCGCGGCCATTTTGTGGGGATGTCTCAGGCGGTTTGCCTGTTTCTGTGCCCAACATCCTTCGCTTTCGGAGCAGATTTGGAGGATGTCTCGAGCGAGGCGCTCATTTCAGCACCCCTAAGGGGAGCCGCCAGGGGTGGTTGCACGGGCTCGTTCGCGGCCATTTTGTGGGGATGTCTCAGGCGGTTTGCCTGTTTCTGTGCCCAACATCCTTCGCTTTCGGAGCAGATTTGGAGGATGTCTCGAGCGAGGCGCTCATTTCAGCACCCCTAAGGGGAGCCGCCAGGGGTGGTTGCACGGGCTCGTTCGCGGCCATTTTGTGGGGATGTCTCAGGCGGTTTGCCTGTTTCTGTGCCCAACATCCTTCGCTTTCGGAGCAGATTTGGAGGATGTCTCGAGCGAGGCGCTCATTTCAGCACCCCTAAGGGGAGCCGCCAGGGGTGGTTGCACGGGCTCGTTCGCGGCCATTTTGTGGGGATGTCTCAGGCGGTTTGCCTGTTTCTGTGCCCAACATCCTTCGCTTTCGGAGCAGATTTGGAGGATGTCTCGAGCGAGGCGCTCATTTCAGCACCCCTAAGGGGAGCCGCCAGGGGTGGTTGCACGGGCTCGTTCGCGGCCATTTTGTGGGGATGTCTCAGGCGGTTTGCCTGTTTCTGTGCCCAACATCTTTCGCTTTCGGAGCAGATTTGGAGGATGTCTCGAGCGAGGCGCTCATTTTCACCCCCCAGGTGGGCCAGATTTTGAGGATGTCTCGATCGGTTTGCTAGTTTTGGTGGCCAGGCTCGTGGGCGCAGATTCTTCTCAGGATGCCACAGGAGGCTCCAACAGGCTCCAGGAGGCTCCAGGAGACCACATGAGGTCCCAGGAGGCATCAGGAGGCCACAGAAAGACTCAAGAGGCCACAGGATGTCCCAAGAGGCTCCAGGAGGCCCCAGGAAGCTCCAGAAGGCCTCAGGAAACCACAGGAGACCCCAGGAGACAACAGGAAGCGCCAGGAGGCATCGGAAGGCAACAGGAGGCCCCGAGAGGCCCCAGGAGCAGGAGGCCTCAGAAGGCAACAGGAGTGGCTCCAATCCCATGTGTTTTACGTATGCTCCTATCGATTGGGCCTCACCTGGAGCACGATTCTTTGATGTTCTACGTATGTTTCTATAGATGGTCCTTCTCCTGTGTACACAATCCTAAATGTTTTACTCATGTTCCTATGTATTGGGCCTCTCCTGGGGCACGAGTCCTTGGTGTTTTACGCGTGTTCCTATAGATTGCCCTTCTCCTGTGGCTCTAATCCGCAATGTTTTATGTACGTCTGTTGCTATAGATTGCGCCTCCCCTGGGGCACGAAACCTTCCTAGGAGGTCCCAGGAGGTCCCAAGAGGCTCCTGGAGACCCCAGGAAGCCCCAGTAGGTTTCAGGAGGCCCCAGGAGGCCCCAGGCTCATGCACAGAGACGCGCTCGTACTACTGAGGCTCATTCACACTCCAATTCATTCGCAGTTAGATTGATGTCCAGACCGTCACAACTGAAGCCCGTTAATATTCGAAAGCTCTTGCGCCTAGACATTCACGGCGGACAGGTCCATGCGAGTAGATGCACATATGGGGAGCTCCACGCAGTGCATTTTTTTTTTTTTTTTTTTTTTTTTTTTTTGATATTTTGCATTTTTCAATCAAAATCCCCCTGTAGGGGGAGAGGCCCGACTAAACACAAGTCCGCAGTGCGAAAAGCCGTGGATGGGAGGAGCGCGGCCACGTCTCAGACGTCGTCGTTGGGAGGGCCTTCGCAGTCAGCAGGTGCAGACAGGAGAGAGGCGACGAGGGAGGAGGAGGGGACGAGGAGGCTGGGGGAGGCAGGGCCATCGCCTTCCAAGCCCTGCCCCAGTGCAGCTCTGTGCCTGCTGGTGCAGCTCATTCGTGCTCGGCAGGAGCCGACAGTAGAGTGCTCTGCTTGCGAGCTGGCGGGGGTGCACGGCAACGGGGGCCTCCTGAAACAGGAATTTGACGGGGTACTCCACAAAGGGCCTGGCCTGCGGGGAACCGAGACATCGATGTTTCGCCTTCGGCGGAAGGCCAGTGGAAACCAGTGGAAGTAAAGCACGGCCGACGTGCCCAGGGCAGGTATCCGAGGCTGTGCAGATGGAGGAGCAAGGGAGTGTCCTCGTTGCCCCTCCCAGGCCCCCCGCGTTTGGTCGGATTACCTGGACAGTGGCCCTCACCTCTCGCAGAACAGGAATTTGTGAAGCTGAGCGCACCAGGGTTTGGGCTCGACTCTTTCGCCCGGGAGGAACATAATGAGCTGGGAGAAGAGGGGGGGGAGGAGGAGTGGGGGAGGAGGATTCGGAGGAGAAGCGGAATGAGGATTGTTTTGCAGAAGGGGCTCCGTCCACCACCGTTTTGCGGTGTTCGGGGGCAGTCTTCCAGAGCTCAGGAGAGTCACCAATGATTACTGCTCGGGAGCGAAGACTGCCCCCCCGGGAGGCGGAGGAGCCGAGCCTTCTGAGGCCCACGGATTACGATAACCAATCCGCCGGGAGTGCTGGGACAGGCCGGCTTCCCTCCGAAGCAGCTCACCGATCCCGCGGCCACGCTCCAGGCCACGCTCCCCCCGAGGAGGAGGAGGAGTAGGAGGAGGAGGAGGAGGAGGAGGAGGAGGAGGAGGAGGAGGAGGAGGAGGAGGAGGAGGAGGAGGAGGAGGAGGAGGAGGAGGAGGAGGAGGAGGAGGAGGAGGAGGAGAGAGGAGGGGGAGGGAGGAGAAGGAGGAGGGAGGAGGAGGAGGAGAAGAGGGAGGAGGAGAAGGAGGAGAGGAGTGGAGGAATAGGAGAGGATGAGGAGGATGAATAGGAGGAGGAGAGGAGGAGGATGAGGAGGAGGAGGAGGGAGGAGGAGAGGATGAGAGGAGGGAGGGGAGAGGAGGCAGACGAGCGGGGGTAGAGAGGGGCACCCCTGCAGAGGCAGGGTTCGCCTCTCGCTTGGGTTGGCCGCGCAGCGGGCGCGGGGGTAGAGAGGGGCTTACCCCTGCAGAGGCACGCTGGCGCGGCGCGACGAAGGGATCGCGCATTTTGACGCGGCGCACAGGGATTCATCGGTCTGAGCGCGGGGCAAAAAGGAGGAGGAGGAGGAGGGAGGAGAGGAGGAGGAGGAGGAGGAGGAGGAAGAGGAGGAGGAGGGAGGAGGAGGAGGAGGAGGGGGGAGAGAGAGGAGGAGGAGGAGGAGGAGGAGGAGGAGGAGGAGGAGGAGGAGGAGAGGAAGGAGGAGGAGGGGAGGAGGAGGAGGAGGAGGAGGGAGGGAGAGAGGAGGGGGAGGAGGGGGGGGGAGGAATAGGAGAGGAGGAGGGAATAGGAGGAGGAATAGGAATAGGAAGAGGAGGAGGAGAGGAGGAGGAGAGGAGGAGGAGGAGGAGGAGGAGTACGAGGATTACGAGGAGGAGGAAGGAGAGGAGGAGAGAGGAGAGAAGGAGTACGAGGATTACGAAGAGGAAGGAGGAGGAGGAGGAGAGGAGGAGGAGGGGGAGGAGGAGAGGAGGAGGAGGAGGAGGAGGAGGGAGGAGGAGGGTAGGAGGAGGAGGAGGAGGAGGAGGAGGAGAGAGGAGGAGGAGGAGAGAGGAGGAGGAGGAGGAGGAGGGAGGAGGAGGAGGAGGAGGAGGAGGAGGATGAGGAGGGAAGATCGAGGAAGACCGATGGTCTAGGTTGTTGGAAACTGCTGTTGCCTTGTTTGGGCGCTCGAGGGCCTCCAGAGGTCTTTGGAAGCGTCTGAGGGTGTTCGGCCTGCGGGCCTTCTTGGGGGGCCGAGCCCAGGCCTTAGGAGACAGCCCAGTCTTGTTTTGCGGCTCTCCTTCCCCTCGTCGCTTGCTGGCCACGTCGTGATGCTGGTCACCATCGCTGGTCGCTTCTTTTTCGCTCCCTGGGAGCTCGTGGATCACACGCCCTAGGCGGCGCTTACATTGCCTTCCCGCCTCATCCTCCCCCCAAAGCTCCTGGCTCCTCCTCCCAGTTGCTGGGGAGCTCGTGGATCACACGCCCGAGGCGGCGCTTCCATTGCCTTCCCGCCTCAGCCTCCCCCCAAAGCGACCCTTGCCGGTCTTTCTAGATCCTCCGCCTGGCGCCCTCCCTCGCCATATTCCTCCTCTGGCTCCCCCTTCCTCGGCCACTGAACCCCTGTCCGAGCTCCCTTTTGCTTGCGAATTCTTTCCGCGCCGGGTATCCCCACAAGCACGCCTTCCGCTCCCTGTCCGCCGCCTCGGAGCCGCCGACCAAAAAAGTATCCCCACGAGCTCGTCCAGGGGCATACACCAGGCGAGTTGCCCTGATCAGGGGTGTGTAGCAGGACGACAACGACGAGGCAAGACCTCCGGTGCCCGCGTTACGCGTTGCGTACCAGGGGCCGCCTTGGTAAACCGGTTGCTTGTTGCTGCCCGCCGTGCGCGCGTTGCTTTGGGCGCTTGGACACCGACGACGCGCGCGCTGAACATCTAGCAAGCAGGGGGCGACGACAGGCAACACCTCAACCCCAGGCAGCCGCGGGAAGCGTTTGCTCCCTACCACCGCCTACATGATAAGCCCGGTGCAGCTGCAGTGACGATGCCAAGGCAAGTTGCCTTGATCAGGGAAGTGTAGCAGCATGCGGCGTAACAAAGAAGGGGTACGACGACGCCGACGCCGAAGCCGACCACGACGACCACGACGACCACGACGACGACGACGAAGGCAGGAATCAAACATGATGTCCTTTGCAGAATGTTTGCTCTGGGCGCGTCTTGGAGGCCTCTTGGTGCCCTTTCGGGGCCCTTTTTGAGGCCTGTTGGACCCTTTTGGGACCCTCTCAGGGCTCACTTAGGGCTCTCTTTGGGCCCTCTTGCCTCTTTGGACTTTCTTTAGCCATATTTGAGCCATCTTGAGGCCTCGAGAGTCCATCGAAAAAGAGAAGGAGAGACGGCCAAACACATGGGAAGACCATGATCGTTTTGTAGGATGTTGGCCTGCTGGGGGCCTCCTCGTGAGGCTCGGAGTCATGTGGCCTCCTCGTGGCCTGCTCGTGCGGCCTGCTGGAGGGCACTTGGGGTCATCCTGGGGCCGAATTTGAGGGCTCTTGGCGACGACTGGAACCCCCCCTTTACTGTAACCACCTTGGGATATATTGAGCGACCTTGGAGGCCATCTTTGGCTGAGTGGGGCCTGAGTGGAGAAATGTTGGGCCAAAGGGGACTCTCTGACAACTCGCGGGGCGCCCCCTCCTGCCCCATGGGGAGGGGGTATTGGGGGAGGGGGAATCCCCTCCCCGAGGGGGGAGAATGGGATTCGCAAAACGAGCTCCTTGGATTACTCACGCCCCAGAGCGCTGGTGGGACAACTCCTCCCTGTCGCACTCCGGGATGTTGTTTGGAAGGCCAGGGCGGGCGCTTCGCCGGGGGCTTCTCCTCCATGTCTGATCCCGGTGGCGTTCACTCCGCTCGGGAGCTCCCGCGCGAAGGGAACCCCACCCTCCCCCCCAGAAATCGTGGGGCGTAGGGGTGGGGTTCGCACGTGGCCCCCTCACTCCGCGATGGCGGGACGGAAGGGGGTGCCGACACGCCCAAACCGCCGGCCGCTCCAGCTTGTTCTCGAGGCGTGGGCCCCGGAAGTCTGGGCCACCTCCCCATGGGGCCGGCTCTCTGGAGGCCGAACACGGCCAGGGGCCCCCTAGGAGTGGGCGGCGGGGTGGGCGGCGTGGTGCACGGCGTGTGCAGCCGGAGTCCGTCCGCGCGGTGCGTGCTGCCGTCGCGTCGCCGCGCCGCTCGTGCCGGAGCGCGGCCCTGCGTCTTGGGGAGCGGCGCCTCGGCCACCGGGGAAAAAAAATCCGCCGCGGGCGCGGAGTTGACCGTGGGGCGCGTTCAGAGCAAAGGGCGCGCCGACACCTGGGTACAGTCAAAAACCCTCATAAGGACGCGCGACTTTGCTCAGGGTACCCTTGCGTCCTTGCTCTACCTTGCTCTTGCGTCCTTGGGGTCTTCGTCGTCCGCCGCCCCAAAAAAATCCGACTTCGGCTTCCAAGGGTCTTGCGTCCTTACCGCGCGTCCTTAACAGGGTTTTTGGCTGTATGTGGCCAGCGTGCAGGGCGACAGGTATGATCACACTGCCGCCATCCTGTCCAAAACAAAATGCCACATGTCCGGTGGCACCCGCTCGTGACCCAGAGTGGCCGATCGGTGTCAGCTGCGTTGTCTCTGACAGGGGCGATGGGTCAGCGTGGTGAATTCCATCCCCGGGAATGTAGCCTTGCAGAGAGGACCTTAGGAGGTGGGCGCCAGGAAACTCACCGGAAATTTCCCCCGCTCTTTTCCGCCTCCTCATTCTCTTCCTTCCCCCCTCCAGCGATCTCTCCCCCTCCTCCCGTTTCTTCGGCCCCATCTCGCTCCACATACTCCCGCCCCCTCCCGCCACATTCCCCTCCCTTTTCCATTGCCTCCTTCTCCCTCCTCCCACCTCCCCCGCCTCCTCCCCCCCCATCCTCCCTGCCTCTCCCCCGCCCTCCCTCTCATCATCCCGCCCCCCCCCCCACCCCGCCTTCTTCTCCCCCCCTCCGCTCGCCCACGCGAGGCGGCAGACCTCAAGAACGCCTCCGTGACGCACCGCTGCCAGTGAGAGCCCCTCTGCCAGCGGGCACGCGACGAGTGCCTCGACGCCGTTGCAGCGCGAGGGCGCCTCGCCCCTGCAGATCCTTGCGAGCGCCTGCCCCGTCGGACCGCCCCTGTGCACAGAGACGCGGTCGCTGCCGCAGAGCCGCCCAACTCCGCATCCCGCAGCCTCCCGAGCAGGAGGAGGAGGAGGAAGAAGAGGAGGAGGAGGAGGAAGAGGAGGAGGGGGAGGAGAAGGAGGAAGAGGAGGAGGAGGAGAAAGGGGACGGGGAGGAGAAGGAGGAGGAGGAAGAGGAGGAGGAGGAGGCGGAGGAGGAGGAGGAGGGAGCAGGGAGGAGGAGGAGGAGGAGAAGGAGGAGAAGGAGGAGAGGAGGAGGAGGAGGAGGAGGAGGAGGAGGAAGGAGGAGGAGGAGGAGGAGAGGGGGGAGGAGGAGAGGAGAGATGAGTGAGGGAAGAGGATGAGGAGAGGAGGAGAAGGAGGGAGAGACAGGAGGAGGAGGAGGAGGAGGAGGAGGAGGAGGAGGAGGAGGAGGAGGAGGAGGAGGAGGGAGGAGGAGGAGGGAGGGAGGAGGGAGGAGGGGGGGGGAGGAGGAGGAGGAGGGCGGACAGCCTGGCGGAACCGCGGGTCGGGACCGCAAGGCAGATATGTGGGGAAAATGAAGCTCGCCGCTCTACGCGTTCGTCGCTCTCGTGCGGCTCACAGCATCACACGCGCACTCAGACAGTGGAGGGGGCCTATCCAATGTCTTCGCCCCTCGGCACGGCTTTTCAGAGGCCATGTTGTGGTGGCTTGTGGGCTACGGGTGGACGGGTGCTCAGAACGGCCTTTACATGTATCACCAAGCCCTCGCATATTCCCGTTGGGGGGAGTAGCGAACGCAAAGCACAGGGTGCAGCATATCACGCGGCCAGGCTGCTCCGTTTCATGGCCGAGGGTTCCGAAACGCTCTTGCAGCACAGTCGAGGGCGGTGCCTGCCCGTCCCCAAGCTCGAGCCCCAGGACCCCCTCAGGGGCCTCAAAGGCCAGAGGCACCGCCCTCGAGGACCTGGGGAGCCTCTCCTCATCCCGATCGGCGAAAACAACCGTCGCTTTCCAACGCTGGAAGGTTGAGGGCCCACACACACACGCCTGCTTCCTGTCTGCAGCTGGGCGAGGGGGGGCAGGCGTTTTAGCACACATGTTGCACACTTTACATCGCCCTTCACTAAGCGTAGGGAAATGGAACAAGGAGGAGGAGGAGGACGAGAAGGAGGAGGAGGAGGAGCAGGAGGACGAAGAGGAAGGGGAACAGAGGCGGAAGAGGAGAAGGGAGCAGGGAGGAGGAGGAGGAGGAGGCGGAGGAAGAGGAGGAGGAGGAGGAGGGAGGACGAGGAGACGGAGGAGGAGGAGAAGGAGGAGGAAGATGAGGAGTAGGAGGAGGAGGCGGAGAGGGAGGAGGAGAGGGAGGAGGAGAGGAAGGAGGAGAGGGAGGAGGAGGAAGAGGAGGAGGAGGAGGAGGAAGAACCACATCCATCGTACATCGCCTTGGCCAAGACATATTGTCCACTGGTGTGTCAGTTGTTGTAGGAGGTGATTGGGACATGGTACCTGTTGAACTAAGAGGTGGTCTGAACCTAGATTTTCTGACAGGGAGGTGCAGGTTTGATACGGTGATCCCGTTGCACAGATTTGATGGTGGCGCAGGTTCCAGCAACACAGGCTACTGCATGCTTCGTAGATCACTTGATACGTTTGCTAGTGATGCCGCAGTTGAGTTACGTAACCCTGTTGTTCCAGGGCCTCATAGCCCAGTCTCGTGTCGACTTCGACTGTCAGCTGGTGCTAGATTCGTCCAGGTTCGTGTTCGACATGCAATTCTCCTGACATCGCCAGGTATCGGACCCTCGTTGGAACCACCCGACTATTCCGACCTGAGTGATCGGCTCAACGAGTGCGTAGACCAGCACATTCGGGACGGCCAGATACACAGTGTCAACGGTCAGACAAGGAAAGCTGCACAGTGGATGCTGGACAGTATGTATAGGGAATAGGTGAACAAAGCGTCGGGGGAGGTCCAGAAGTTCACCCACACCATCCCCCATCCAGCTTCGGGCTGGAGGGGCTCCTGTTGAGACCACCCAGAAACCCCTGAGGTTCAATCTGGCGACCAAGCAATGTGACAGGCCCCTCCCTGGAGATGCCCTCCACTGGATGCGGTCTAGGCTCCAAGAGTTGAGGCATCTCTGTCTTCAGGTATCAACCACATGAGCCAAATATGACTACTATCGGGGGCTGTTGAACAAAACACAACGTGCCGGACACAGGGAGGGTCCACTACGTAAGCATCTCGGCTTGGCTGGAGGTGCTTGGCAGTTCGTGCTTGAAATTCTCATTGGTAGATTTTGCGCGGATATGCTCCGGCCCGATCCTAGACTTCACGATGAGGTCACGGCGTGGATTGAATTGTTGCAAGTAGCAGAGAAGCAGCAGGTCAGCATGTCGAAGAAAAAGCAAACAACGCAGTGGATTCATTGGTGCGATGGATCTCTGGACAAGGAGGTGGAGGAACACATGCTTTTACCAGGATGCAACCCACCTGCCTCAAGGAAGTGTACTTAAAGGCGGACGGCAGTATCACGGCCTCTCTTGATAGTATCTAACAGCAGCAGCAAGAGTTGTGGGAAAGCGTGTGGGAGGTCAAGGATGAACCCAGTCCCTTTCTTGATGCCGAAACGGTGGTGCCTGCCAGAACCAGCCCAGGACTCCTGAGGATAATTTCCTCCAGGCTCAAGGCTCGCACCAATGCAGTTGACGGCATCCATCCGAAACATGTCGCGTTGATGTGTGGACCAACTCTGATGGCATTGTCTGGCATTTTCCCGGTCGTGAACATGATATCCAACGCGCCCAGCAACCTCCAGCAGGTCATAATGCAGATGTTCCGAAAACCAGAACCAGGCAGGCGGCCGACTGTATTCTTTACCAACACGGTCAGGTTGCATGGGAAGGCGGTGTCACATGAAAGCGAAAAGTGGGAAGTATCCGAAGGATCACACCCGTGCGTCAGTATGGCGCCAGGACGAGGACCTCTGGATGTAGTTCGGCGACAAGCAGTAAGAGGCGAGGCGCGATCCACAGATGGATACAACATAATTTCACGTCAATGGGACCTCAAACGATTATATGAACACGTGTGTCATCATAAACTTTGAAAGACAGCCTTTGATGTACAATGCCCTATCTCGGTTATACAGTTCAGTCTGAACACATACAAATGGCAACGTCATACTGCACAGTATGGAATCATTCTGACGCCATCTCCCCAGGACGAGGAATCACCGCAGGCACAGGCACGGCTACAGTCCGACAAAGATGTTTGCCATGCCAGTTGCCCACAAGTGGCTTGAGCAAACTACCGAGCATCGTTTGCCCAACGTTGGGATGGCGACCCTGACGGTACATATATATTATTCGGGACTTAATGTCGCAGCACCCTCATTTCATGAACGTGTCAGGGCTATGTATGATCGGGCAGCCCATTGTACAATCCTGGTGAACGATATCTTTGGTGTCCACTTAGTTGAGAAGACGTCGTGCGTCGCGGGCTCGCCGCAGGAACTCATGAAGGCTCGAATGGCAGCTCTTGGGCCCGTAGCAGGAAGACCCGATCATGCCATCAATACTCTAGGAGTAGATTGCGCCCCAGGTCGACATTGACGACAGCCAGGACACGGGCGTACCAGGAGGAAAAGATACCAGGTCGTCAAACCACGCTTTAAGAAGCTGGTGGGCATGCGTGGACCTCCCCACAAGAAAGCCAGGGCCTATTTTGCAGGCGTAGAAGCATCAGCCACATATGGTGGTCAAGTTCGTGGGCATACGCCAGGATAAATCAAGTGTCGTCGGCGGGCTGGGGCCAGGGCTATGGGCTTCTTGGGGGGCTCTTTGGACATGGGCCGGCTTTTGCACCCTGGCCAGGATCCACTTCAGAGAACAGTAGACACTTCCAAACGGTGCGCCAAGGAGTGGCGGCCTCACGCAGGCCGACGGGCTCATTTCGAGGGAGCCCATCAGGTCTTTTGAGCTTGCCCAGAGGCATTTGGAGGAGATCCCTTGCAACGGCGTCGCGGCCCCTCTCGGACATGCACCTCTGGTTGCGAGGAGAAGGTTGGGGGCAGGCCAATCCAGCGGCGTTCGTAGGATCAGGCGACGCCCATCATCATCCGGCCGCCACCCCGCCCCACTTGGTGGCCAAAGCGCTGCTCACATCTTTATGGAGACAACTCCTCAAGCCTGCATTTGTTAGAGCCCCCTCTGAAACTCGGGGCGCTCGGGCCCGGGAGATCTGCGAGAGAGGGCTCTGGCCCCGGGGCCCCGGGAGGCTGCTTGGCAGCAAGAAATCCCCCGATAATTAATGTTAGCGCGTGCTAGAGCAGGTTTTATATACAAACCAGAACTATAACAGGCAGGTATCCCGCAGGGCTCGCTCTTAAGCGTTGGGGGCGCTAGGCTGATGGACATTGTCCGAAGTGTCGAGCCCCCGACTCCATCTTTCATCGCGCCTGGGAATGCTCTCGGCTTGAGGCCGAGAGAGAAGGCGTGGATGGGGAAATTAAAACGATGGCCCTGCGCCGCGGGCCCGCGGACCCCCTCTTCTCCTCCTGGTGGATGCCCCCCCCCCCCCCCGTCGTTGCCACCGGGCCCGTGGAGGAGCCAGAGGTCACCCTTTTTTTAATCGAGTCGGTCTGATTAAACCCTTCTTCATTAAGAGAAGCGGCGTTCGTCGCTGCAGTGAGGTATCTTGTTTTGATGGTTTAATCCCTTCTGCTGCGAGAGCGGGCTGGTCGGTTGTCGAGCGTTCTGGGGGGCTAGTCGGCGGCGTCAGGGGGTCTGTCCCAGATGAGGCGCCACAGAGTGACTCTGTCGCGGAGCACATGGCCGCGCACATGTCCCAAAAGCACCTGGAGCCCGCTGAGCCCTCGGACTTAGGACCCGAGCCCCCCGCTAATATGTGCTGGTGTCAAAACTGCTCAACATGTTGGCTGTCAAGGAGTAACTAGTCTGGGTGGCGGCCAATCACCTGATCGCGAAACTCCACTCGTCGCCGCGCGCTGGATTCTGGAGGATTTCTGGTCGGCCGACCTTTGAGCGCGCGAAGGTGAAGGCAATCATAGAAGATACTCATGCCAGGTCG